TCCCAGATATCCGCATTACATTCATCTGATGTCTGGGTTTTTTTAATGCGAAGACAATATCTCTATATCTCTTTATGTGCTACACAAACAGACTTTATAGCAGACTGTTCCGTCTGACTCTAATGTTTTTTTTTTTTTTTTCTGTAAATTCATCATACATCAATTTGTGTAATTTATATAATAACTTATCCATACCTGTACAATTGGTATGTTCCTGCATAAACAGGAAGAAATATCTATTATTACTTAACATTACCTTGACACAATTTCGAAATTTGACTACTGATATAATACACAATCGTACTCTTCGCAAGTGCCTTTTGATTTACGTTGTGGGCGTCGAGTAGCCACAACGTCTGCGCACAATAATAAAAGTGAAGAAGTACTAGAACATACGTGTACGCAGGTTTAGTCAAATAACGCACGCAACAAACATAGTTGTGTGCGGCATCGTATCTTGTTCTTGTTTTGTGTTCGAATTGGGCATTAATTAAAAGTGAGTGGTTTATTTGTATTATTTTGTCATCATTTTTATTGCAATTAACACCAGATGTGAATTGTACTGAATGCAGATTAATACTGGTTATTGTAACTCAGATTTGTTCTACTGCACCCACGTCGGCCAAGACCGCCATTCGCCACTGCATGGTTGTTCCGTACGAGTAAGTTGATCAACACGTAGTGGCTTATGTCTTGAGCACGCAACTAGTTGTCTATTTACCCTAACCCAGTGGCCAGAAAACACTTGATACTGCCCTGGGAATGAAGGGGACAGATTAGACTTCTATTGTAACAACAGAAGACAAGGGCCAGTCAACAGATCGTTTATTTAGGAAATCAACACATATTTATAGATTTTCAAGTACGTTATTACAGATTATTGTTAGTAGAAAAACAGTCTTCCGGTAAGTTGTTCCTCACTGAAAGTCAATCTTTCATCTCTTTGTGGCTGTTTCTCGAATATCAAATAATCTCTCTGCTAATTGTATCCGACTATGCAAGGTCTGCTGTGATTGGTTATTGAGTCAGTCTTTGTTCTTGTTTTCACATGACCAAATTTTGAGACATAAACATTGGCGTAAGTTACTGTCTACCAATTTGGCTAGAAGCCAGCTCTCAGCACGATGTGAGTTCAGAGGTGTGTTATGGTGAGTATGATAGTGCGAAAGCATTGGGAAACCCGAACACGTTTTTTTTTCAAGCATTCGTTGCTACTCAATATCACCTTGAAAACCAGTAATAGGAACAAATATATATTGTTGAAAATGAAATATCTAGATCTGTTTGTATCCAGAAATTTTATCACATAGTTCATGTAACATCATCCACTCCGAGTTCACCTCTTCTGCAAGACATATGCATCAGAAGTGGCCACTACACTATCAGTGAAAGACTTCCAAGATGCTAGCTAAGCGTGAAAAAATGAAATATCTTAAGTGGTTGACGGTATAGACGTTCGCGAACAGTACTGAGTATATTAACGCAAGCTCTTATACTAACAACTTCTAACGTATTTGAATCTCGCACACCAAAGGCAAAGCAAAAGACTACAATCCTTTGTCCAAATTACGACATATATTTTGGAACCAACTCGCGGATTGAAGCGGAAGCTAGCTAATTATCGTGCACGACAGTGACACGACGGAGTACCAAATGGCGGGGATGCTTGACCGATAGCCTTCAGCTAAACAAGTCAACTTAAACTCTAAGGGTCAGCATCCAATGTTCAATGATGATTCCTATGATCAATAATTTTAGGGAATTATTTACCGCTGCATATCTGTATCTACGCCGACGCACACCTGATATCTATGGTCGGCCTGCAGAATTTGGGCTACCGATATCCACGTTGAAAATTCCATACTTGTACCAAAAATACACTGTGGAATCAAGCTGCAATCAAAAAAATAAAATCCAGTCAACCTAAAATCAGAGCAAATTATCATTTAGGATTTACATGATTTATATCTTACAATATCTTTTTCGCGGTTATTGTCGTGTAACCGTACTTCATTCTCCCAAACTGAACAGCTAATGAAAGAACTGACCCACATATACGAGTCACACTATGATCTTAATGTGGATAGATAATTTTTCCTTCAATCCCAACTGGTATATCACCGAAGTTATAATGAATGGATAGACAAACTAACCATTCATTACTCTGTCGCATATTGTAAAATTCAGAGTCATATCAACAAACAATTGGAAATAACTTCTCTTGTCCGTTCTAGCTATTAGATGGAATATTGGACACTAGACAAGTGACATTGAAACATTTCGTTTTCTGCGTTACCTCGTGTTGTTGAAGGTTGGTTGCACTCCTTCTTTTTGTCATTTTCTCTTTGAAATATACTGACAGTACGAACTCTGTGCCGCATGATAGCCTTAGTTGTGTGTTCGTCATTGTTATTTTGTCATAATGTCAAATTCTACAGACTGATGGTGTTGAAAACGCTAGCCAATCGACCACCCGTTAGCGTGTAGTTTTGTGGAGTAGCACAGTTTATATGTCTTTATCACTTTGACTTAGAGTCAGCCCATCACTGGCCGGAGATTTTATAGACCTTCAGCTTTGGATGTACAAGACAGCAGCCAGGAAACACCTGAGATCACAATTTGGCGAAGTTACACTATAATAGCCAAACCCATCTTCACCTTGAACAACCAATCAACACTCAGACGCAGAAAAGGTGCATAACGATAAGTACATTATTGTGCTAAACCACATCGCAAACATGATATTACACTGTATAAATGTCCCTTACGTAATATAAGAATGCCTCCTAGTTACTCCAAGGATAATCCATTGAGGGCAAAGTTCAACAATAGCGTCCCAAGTGATACAAATGCACGAGTGACCTTCAGTCTGCCAATCATAAAAATGAAGAATTTATGCACAAAGAATGACGTATATTCACAAGAAAATGCATGAAAACACATTAAACAGATTATCTTTCTCTGACATGACTTAAAAATACGTCCCAGTTATGATGAAGATTATCAGTTGCTAAGTTGGACTAGTTTCTGTAGATGTATTCACCAAAGAAACTGAAGATTTGCTGTTTTGTGAATGGATCATCTCTCTTCTCTTGCTGTGCAGTCCTCTCCAAAGCCCTAGGTTAAGTTACTATGGTTTCAGTAAGAGGATCGACGACTACATACAAGGAAAATTTAGGATAATAAAGCAAGTTGAAATAAATGAGAAATCTATTCCTTATCTTAACCCTAGCCTTAATCCTGACCCTGACCCTAAATTTCACACTACCCTTAACCTTAATCCTAACCCTAATGACTCCTTATCCTGGCGTAAACCTAACCCTAATCCCACTTATGACCGTAATCCTAACCCTAACCCCAATACTAGCCTTAACCCTAATCCTAACCCTAACGAGATGTTAACACATTGTCCAAACAGTAATTGAAAGCATGATCTGGGTGAAACTTGCTCCTTATTTGATGAATAGGGTTGATATTTCAGCTATGATAATGACAGATCCCGTTCGCCAACGACTAGCATGCGTTCAAGGTCATTTGAGCGTTCGCACTCCTGGGACGCTATTCTTGTACTTCGCCCGATTGAGAAATATCATGTGCGATAGATGTATTCATCGAGGTTACTGTAGATTATGATCCTTCCGAATCCATTGATGTTTTTGATACTATTCTTTGACCTGACTGTAGATATAATCCTATTTTGAATCCCAACATAAACCCCAAAAACACTAAACCTATTTAATTACCTAAAAAGTACTTTCAGTACCAGTCTTTGCGACATCCGTAGATCAAACAGGACTCGACTTGGAGTGACCTTACTCAGCGTTCTCTATGTCTGCTTGGCTCTTAAAGGTCAGATTTTTATAGGCTTTGGGTATGACATTTAAACTCCGCCGAAATTCAAAATTCGGAATGGAACATTTATTAACCATCACTCTGTATTATCTCAATGAATCAGGTATCTAATATAGGGCCATATGGCCTGTGACCCTCAATTAGTCTACTGGACGTTTCCTACTTGCTGTTTGTTTTGAATTAGCGTATGAGTGAGACTGCCTTTTGATTCGTCTTCGTACATTCCACCTAAGTTATCAAGGAACAAGTCACTTCTGTTATAAGTTTTAGTGTTTTTACTAGAATACTATCCAATAACATATTGGTATTCTGTTTATAACTCCCTTTCTGCTACTACGAACACTTTTCAACCTTTGGTTATCATTGAAATTTGAGTTACGTGGCAAACGAAATTGACAAATGCCTCGTATCGTTAAAGTCGTCTTTCAGACGATATTATGTTCATGAGGAATCTCCTGACTATTATAGTGTTTCCGGGGTAGCATCTCGAAATGAATATCAACTGGTCGACTGCATCAGTGACGTCAATTAGAACTTAAAATTCAGAGGTAACCTTTAGTCCCAGAGCATAGTTAAACTGCCGAACCGAACAACCCAAACACTGTCTCATCCGGAGATTAGGATGGAACTTCGTTGAAGTAGATTACCAGATAGTAATCTTCGACAGTTTGTTTCAGGTCATTGTTGTGTCCTCCTTCAGTTATGTTTTCTTTCCGTATAAAAACCATAGGATGTCATGCTTCCAAATGTTGCTTCAGAATTGCATGTCTTAATATGTATATATCTTCCTCTTGCTGTTTTTTGCAACTTTCTATACCTCCGGTCTGAGCGTTGCGTCATTTCGACTACGCGTATGCGGTGTTGAATCGATAAACAAAGACACTCTGATTAACCTCTCTCTCTCCATCTAACTATATTACCTTATATATTTTCACCCTGTTTATCGATCCAACACCGCACACATACATGTCTTAAATTCCAAGTTTATTGAACGAATAACACATCCGAAAAACAAAGTCTTCCTAAATCCCCTAGCATTTTGAAATACGTTCAGTTCTCTTGTAAAACCGCTAGTCATTTGACGAATTACATCTTTGATCTTTCAATTCCTGACACTTGATTTTTTAATTTTTTTTAATTTCAGGGTCATGGATAATAAAGGATTAGAAGAGATTTCTAAAAATCCTTTATTAGCTCCTAATAAACGTAAAAAAGCCAATAAAACAAGAACAGTTAAAGATTTATTCAACGATGTTGGACCTGAAGCATCATTTAAAGATAAACGTGGACGACCATGGTTTAAAAATCCACGAGCTTATGTTAAACAGAAGTTAGCACCTAAAACTGAAAGAATCGATGATGACCACTCACAGTCTAGTGATGATGGTGGTAGTAACAGTGACAGTTCTAGATCGAGGGATTCAGAATCAAAAACCTCGTCTGACAGTGATGATGGCAATGAAGTTGATTTTTTCGAGGATATTGAAGATCTTCAAGGTAATTTAACCTTTCTTTTGACTATAGCTTGAAACCATACAGTATTTTTGGTACAAGTATGGAATTTTCAGCATGTGATATCGGTAGCCCAAATTTCGCAGGCCGACCACTGATATCGGGTGTGCGTCTGCCGGGAGTTGAACCCTGGACCATGTGCATGGTCGGCGAGCGTCCTAGCCGCTGTGACACCGACACACTTATATGGAAGATAAAATATGCTTCGCATTGAAATATGTGAGAAGTGAGGAATATGAGTGATTAGTAACCAAAAGTATCGATCACCAACATTTTATACTGATGAGCTTGTGATTGTTTTAGTGTAAGCATTCGACTTATAACCATACAATTTTAAATATGGACACTTTCGTGCCGTCATAATTTCAAATAATACCATTGCACCCACGCGACAATTGTGGTATATTATCGTATACACCTCAAACAAACTACAGACCTTCATTAACAGCTGTCTTCGCTCAATACTCAAGGTCAGATGGCCAGAATGGATCAGCAATAAGGACCTCTGGGAGAGAACCAACCAGGAACCGATTGTGCAACAAATAGGCGGGAAGAAATGGAGATGGATTGGCCATACTCTGAGAAAACAAACCATCAAGTGACATTACTAGACAAGCCCTCGAGTGGAACCCGAAAGGGAAGTGGCGAGTTGGTCGTCAGTGAGAGGGTGACTTGGAGAAGGTCATGTGAAGAGGAGATGAAAGCATGTGGGCAGACTTGGAGCCAGGTGAAAACTCCAGCAAAGAACCGAAGGCAATGGAGACGCGCAGCTGAAGCCCTATGTTCCTCTAGGAATTAAAGGAAATAATAATAATCGTATAAATAAGTCTATAGGCAATTACGATGGAGAGTGAATCAGGTGACAGCTGTTTCGCTAGTTTTTTGCAGTTCTTAGGTTTTGTTTAGTTTACTGATACTCTCAGAGATTAATTTCCGCAGATAAACGTCACCTGTGGAGGACGTTTTGACATTATGATGGACAAGAGGATGCATAGAGAGAGAGAGAGAGAGAGTAAGGCGTAGGAGTGTGGTGAAGAATGTTTTTTTTTGATTATTTTTGACAGTTGGCCTTGAATTCCGTATTTTTATTTTAATAATCATGCAGTGATGTGGTATTAACAACTAGATGACAAGGTTTCTAGCATAATTTATTGCTCATAATCATATCAGTTTATTCACACGTTTTCACATTACTTACTTACTTACTTTACTTCGGCTATCTCCTACGGGAGGATGAGCCGGCTTCATGAACGTCTCGAATCATCGCTGCCCAGGCGCGGCAATTTGTAAGAGAGTTCATGAAGTTTCATGGGAATTTGGTACGAGTGATGTCCCCAGCATCGCTCGGCTTTTTGTTTGAGAGTGCAGCTCCAGCCTTTACACAGCCAAGTGTGACCTACAAGGCAGTAGGAGTGGAGTAAGGAGTCCACTATCCATTGGCAGCCGGTGACCGGAGTTCGGTTCATACGCCTTTGTGAATGGGGCCAGACATCCAGGACATCCAACAAGCCCTTTGTCCATACGTCTGCCGGTGAGCTCCAGTGAGCTTCATACGCCAGTCGTTGGAGGTTTGGAATCAGGGTTTAGCCATCTCCCCTAGACCGTCATCCAATGGACAGTCAACCCGGTGGAGAGCGCCGGGCATTCGCTTTCGCCCTCTCACTTTGGTGAGAAACACCTCCGCCACGTGAAGGCAGTGAGTAGGACTTCCTCAGGAGAGGCTATGTAAGACGCCCGGTCATATGGGAGCATTTCAAGAGGTGTGCGGAGGGGTGGCCAACCCGCAGCGCAAGGCACCCACCCCCGACCATCCTGAGGCTTTGGAGGCGTTTTCACATTTTGTCTTATATATATATTTCCTCTCTTTCTGTCTCTCCAACTTCCTCCCGGTATAGGCGTTTCGTCGTTCCGATTGCACGTTTGCGATGTTGAATTGACAAACAAAGCTTCAGTGATTGACCTCTCCCTCTCTCTCACTGCACCTAACTATATTACTTTTCAATACTCTCACCCTGTTCCACGCACCCTATTTTCTGATTACATGCAAGTGCATGCAATTCATTGCATTACAATGGCTGAGCTTTGTTTTTTCTAGGTTATTTAACTTAGCAGGGTCAATTATTCTAGATCTAGCTAAATTTTTATGTTCTAGTAATCTACCTGGCCCTGATCTACTAGTTTGACTGGCCTATGTTACTGACCTCACTAACAGTCATTATATGCATGGCATCTTGTAAATTATATTATTTTTTCTTAATTGGATCTATCGGCCGAGTGCTTAAGCTGACAAAGTTTGTCTGTGAGACAGTTGGTTGGTTTTTTGGATTAAATGCCACCCTGACTAATTCCAGTCTCATTTAGAATCCTCTAACGTTTCTTCTTTATACGACAGTGCTACAAAGGCTTTGAATTCTACATTATTTTTGTTATTTTCCCCTACCAATCTTATTTTCTCTATGGTTCCTCATATATTTTTGAATAGATTCTGGTGGGTAGTTAGTTATTCACCAGTAATACTTCCTTTATTTGTTTGATTTCGTTATTTAAATCTCTTGGCTTACCAGTTACGCTTTTGGCTCGATTATACAGGCGCTTAACTAAACCTATCTTTACCACCAATTTTGGATGGGATGAATTAAAGTCTAAGTATTTAGTAGAGTGTGTCGGTTTCCTATAAATGCTAGCTACTATCTAACCTCCTACCATCTGATTTTCGTTTTATTCTACAGTCCAGCATGGCCAACTCACCCTGTCCGTTTTCTAATTCAGAAGTGAATTAGATTCCGTCTACTATTGACTTCATATGTACGAGCAATCGAGGGATATGTTCAGATTTCAACACAGAATGTGTCATCCACACCTATCTCCATCACAACCTAGGAGCAGCAGGATTATACGTTCTAAGAGTCTTATGTTCTCAACTATCTTAAAATATGTCTGCTACTATTGGGGATATTGGTGATGCCATTGCCACCTCCATTCGTTTGTTTATATAGTTTATTTTGGAAGCTTACATCAACTTTTTATTTTGTTACTTATGAGTCATATTGATAACAGAAGCTGTGTTTGTCGAATCAACTGCAAACACGTGTAATGGGAACGATTCAACACCTGTCCACCCTAATGTCTGGAAAATTCTACTGCACTTACGAAGACAAATAGGAGTGAACAAAGAAAACTATAAAACTCAAGTTTCGAAGTCGTGTGATTATAATTGATGATATGATTATGAACAGTAATAAATTGTGTTCGAAACGTCATCCAGTAAATAATGCTGTTTCACTGTCTGATACATCTAATGAATAAACTAATATGGAATTAATTACAACCACAGTGCCCAAGATTTACACATATTTTCAAGTATTGGTTTTGTAGGGATTTCGTTTAATTGGATGGAAAATTTCATCATGGGCTGACATCAGTTAGAGGACCATTGAAAAACCCTCGCTGAAGTACTGGAAAGCTGTTTCGTCTATCTAGTTTGCGACTATGCAGCAGTATGCACCCACCGGCGCTCGAACCCAGGATCTTCTGGTTACAAGGCGAGCTCGTAGACCATTGAGCCACTGGGACCCGATCCAGTAGCCACTGTATGAATTCTAACTTCTGCAAATTCATGATATAGCGCGACCATTTCTCAATGTCTTCTTCGATGAGTTACTGCCTCATCTTCAATCTGCTGTGCTCTACTGGTCACGACTTCCCACTAGAACCCCAGGCAGCTAACTGCCTGAATAGAGCCAGTCACCAGTGAGCATCAGATTAATTTTCAAGTATCGGTTTCGTAGGGATTTAGTTTATAACCAGAAGTTCCTGCGTTCGAACCCCGGTGGGTGTGTACTACTGAAGAGTCCTAAACGAGGACGAAACAGCTGTCCAGCACTCCCAGGTTTTACACATATATTAATATGAGTTATATGGATGATATTTCTGTAGTTTAGCGAGATAGAAATGATTTAGCGTGTAATAAAAATATCAGGATCACACTTCAATGCTGTTTTGTCATTACTCCCGCTTAATTCTGTAGGTATGCCAATGGATGAGCAAAGTTATTTGCTGTACTCATCTGATGGATAATCAACATTCTTGTAGGTTTACTGTGTTTCTCAGCAACCACCTACCTCTCCGTAAAGCCGACAGTGAGTCACACCTATTGTGTGGGGAATAGTGACCTTACATAACTGCTTAAACCTCTGTAGATAGAGACAGGGGTTCTAACCCGTAGTCTAGTGGTTTGAAACTGAGCACTCTGGACCAACAAACCATAGCTTCGATTTGAGTCACTTGTAAAAAATTACTCATAAACTGTTTAATTTGCCCACAGCCACGCTCAACCTTCCGAGCATCCAACACCTCCCTGAATGGGATATAAACACAGGTCCTCCGTCACTAACTGAGGTTACTAAAGCTGTCACCAATCTGAAACTAGGCAAAGCAGCGGGACCTGATGGAATGACTCCAGAGGTATTTAAGTACGGTGGAGACAGCTTACTGTCTGCATTAACTGAGGTACTAGGCAGCGTCTGGGAATCAGAAGAAGTCCCATCGGGTTGGTGTAATTCACTGATTATCCCCATATACAAGAAGGGAGACAAGTCTTCCTGTGATAATCACAGAGGGATTAGCTTGACTAATATAGTATCTAAAGTCTTAGGCTCAATAATCATGCGTAGACTGAGTGGTGCTCGGGAAGCACAAACACGAGAGAGCCAGGCAGGCTTTAGACCAGGAAGAGGGTGTATTGATCATATCTTCACCTTCCGACAGATTCTAGAACATAGGCATTCCTACCGGCGTCCAACAGTCATTATATTTCTTGACCTAAAGGCAGCATTCGACTCTGTCAATCGGGAAGTTCTCTGGAGATGCTTGGCTGTAAAGGGAATTCCAAGAAAATATATTGCACTGATTAAGGCACTCTACTCGTACTCATACAGCCAGGTGAGGGCTTACGGCGAGCTGTCATCTGAACTGATGACGACCAGTGGTGTCCGTCAAGGATGCCCATTATCTCCTTTTCTATTCAACTTCATCATAGATGTGTTAATGGACTTAACCCTAGGTGACTTCAGCGACTCAGGGATTGACTTGCTACCTGGGAATAATCTCGTTGACTTGGAATATGCAGACGATATAGTCCTTCTAGGCGAAGACGCTGACGAAATGCAGAGTCTTCTGAACACCTTGAGCTGTAATCTACGAATGTTTGGCATGCGATTCGCTCCCGCCAAATGCAAGATGATGTTACAGGACTGGACTACATCGACGCCTAGTTTAAAAATAGGAAGTGAAGTGGTAGAGCACGTTGACCGCTTCACTTATTTGGGAAGTACCATCAGCCCCAACGGGCTGATCTCTGACGAAATCTCAGCACGAATACAAGGGGCTCGTTTCGCATTTGTTAGTTTACGCCGACTCTGGCGTAGACGAGATGTTCGACTATCGACCAAAGGGCGGGTGTACTGCTCATCAGTCCGCTCCGTCCTCCTTTATGGTTGTTAGACCTGGCCACTGAGAGTGGAAGACATGAAAAGACTAGCTGTCTTTGATCATAGGTGCCTGCGCTCTATTTTCCGTGTAAAGTGGCATAATAAGGTGAGCAATATTGAAGTTAGGCGTAGAGTTCTAGGTAAACAGGGGAAATCAATCGACGAAGTCGTGAAGTTACAAAGACTGAGATGGTTAGGACATGTGTTACGTATTCCAAGCCATCGCCTCCCTCGACGAACAATGTTAGCGGATATAGGGTCAGGCTGGAAAAAAGCTAGCGGAGGTCAAACAAAAACTTGGCACCAGTCAATGAAATCCACAACAGTTGGTCTAAGCCACGTAGGAAGGTGTAGACTTCCTGACTGGTTGGGGTCCTCGGGACGGTAAAAATCAATGGTTGGAAACAATTAGTGACATGGCTCAAAATCGTTCTCAGTGGCGCAGATGCATCCACTCCTTGTGACTTATGATTTCCAATGAAACTGCTTTGTTCTTCGTTATTACTCTTCCCTTGTCTCACACCTCTGCTCATTGTCTCTATTATTCTTTTCTTGTACTTTCTTCTCTTGCTTCGCGTGCTACACGGAGTGTGGCGACTTGAACTTCCGCACATTTGTGCAAAGTTCTATGTCGAAAACAGACAGACTCATAAACTGTTCAACCGACATTTCTTCAGTACTTTTTTCTACAAATATTGTTTTTTTTATTTGTTTATTACCCATAATTTTTGGATGTCTTCTGTTCCTTCACATAGGTGCTGACTGGTATGAGTTGACAAAAGATTCTGTTCCCACAAGCCAATCAACTCATCGGTTAGCTTTGCTTCATTTCGACTGGGATAATGCTAAACCAGAGACTATTTACATGGTTCTTGAATCATTTTTACCTGCTAGAGGACATATTGAAAAAGTGACTGTAAGTTATCATCGTTTTTTTTTATTGTTTCTTATGAATTTTTAGTTGTATTTCTTTTTCCAGAAAAATTGCTTTCGTGTGATGTATCATTTGTGTAGAAATAGGTTAATTCAGAGAGAGTGTGTAAGTCACTCTGTTATCCCTTGATATAGTCTATTCTTCTATTCTTGTACTACTTACGTCAAAAGGTCAAAGATACTTTTTTTAACAGGCATGACTGGTTTCAACATGGGATTTTGCACAGATGTGCAGCAGTTTGAGTTTCCATACTCCATGCAGCAGACAAAGCAAGAGAAAAGAGCACAAAGAAATTCAAAAGAGAGGTAATAAACAGAAATATGAGGCAAAAAGTATAGTAATATGGAAGAACAATAGAATTTTATTAGATATTATAAATCACAAGGAGTAGATGCATCTGCTCCATTGAGAAGGATTTGGAACCATATGAACAATTGTCTCCAGCCGTCACCATTGGTTCTTACCATCCCGAGGGCTCCAACCAGCCAGTCAGGAGGTCTACACCTCCATACGTGTTTGGCTGGCTGGCTTAAACTATCTGTTATGGATTTATTTCATTGACTGATGAAGCCATGTTTTGGTTTGACCACTACTTAGCTCTTTTCCAACCAGATCCATCCTATGTTGGTGGCTAGAATCGCCCATCGAGGAAGACGATGGTTAGGCACGCGTAACACATATCCTAGCCATCTCAATCGATGTAACTTCACAACCTCGTCGATTGATTTTCCCTACAACTCACCTTGTTGCACCACTTAACACACACGGGAGATGGAACGCAGACAGACACCTATGATCAAAGACAGTTAGTCAGGCTTTTCATGTCTTCTGCTTTCAGCGGCCATGCCTCACAGACGTAAGGGAGGACGGATCGAAGTGACTGCTAAGCAGTACACACATCCTTTGATTGATAGCCAGCCGGATATCACATGTACGCCAGAGGTGGAATGATTTGGTATATGTCAAACGAACCTTCTGTATCCGTGCTGAGGTTTCGTCAGCGGCCAGTAGCTTTATCAAAGTAGTATTATTAAACCACAGTTTACAAAATCCACTCAGCTTATATATAACAACTTAATCATCGTTCCTCAGCATGAGGTAATTTCTGCGATCTTGTCAATTGGGTCAATTGGTAAAGATATTAAAGCCAAGTGTAGATTGTTGGATTCGATAAGTGTATAAGATTATAAAAGCAGCGTGTGTTTACATAATGACATTGCTTATCACATTCATGATGATTTTGTCATTTCATGGGCGAAGGGGGTGTTGTAACCAGGTCAAATTCTGTTTTAGTCCATCATTCCTATTAAGTCCGGACTACCTGGATTCCATTTGATGATATGAAATCCTTCTGATGATGTGAAACGTCCTTTGTGATTTCTGAAATGCTTATTCTGGATGATGATTTCAATATTGTCAAAATCAATTTTGTGACCTGATTCTATAGCGCCGCGTGTAGACGACGGGCTGTAGCTGATGATTTTTCAGGCTTTTCTAGTTCACTAACTAGATTTCTCAGTGGTACTGTGTTGTGATTAAACTAATTCGCTTTCATTAAGAGAGCGTTGGTTTCGATACTAATATTATACCTTCAGTCTCTCTCACTTTCCCGTAGTAGGATTGTAAAGTTGAAAGAAAACAGGCTTATTTGAATAGAGCAAGAACAACAGCGGTGGTTTGTGCAGAATAAGAAAATGGTACCACTCTTTGTTTATTTCGTTGGCTTCTCATCAGCTCAGCTGCTTACAGTCTAAGTAAATTATGAGGTTTATGTACAGAAAAGTTTTAACATACTTGCAAATTTTACATGTTGTCAGTTGACAGAAAGTTCCACAATTAGTGAACAGTGCTCAGAAAATTGCGCTTACATAGTTTTCACACAGGCAGTTCAAGTTTAAACAAAAATAAATGTATGCATATAACGGTAAAGGAGTTACGTAACAAAGACAAAATATGCGTTAGATGCGTTAGGTAACAATGTACTGAGTTGAACTCAAATCATAGAAACAAGAGACAAGCAACATTACAGATTATAAAAGCGGGGTGAGGTTAAAGACAAAGATTACGTAATCACATGAGAGAAAAAAGACATCCAGTTACCAGACAGGGCAAGGAAAGACTAATAACTGCTTCTTTCTGAACACATAAATCTGGTTCGGTTCAAGCATTTGATAGAAATTGCTTCGTCAAACTTGAGGAGAATAGAGCTCCTTTGTCTATTGATAATTTTGAAGGATTTCTCGATTTCCACCTCATGACCCGCTACTATAAGAGTTTTTTCCCTTGAGACGTAGGTTTTTCGGCATATATGTTCAGAAAATCGAAGGTGTGCCCTTCTTTCTGTTCTCCCAATGTAAGTGCTCCCGCAGATCCACGTAAATTTGTATACACAGTTGGAGTTGTTAACGTTAGAAGGGTATCTATTGACTTTTGATTGCATCAAAGAGCATGTTGTTCGATGGACGGGAACCAACTTAACTGCAGGATAGACTCTGGCTAGTTACGTTCTCAGTCTTCTGTCGACCATTTCTGCAACGTTTTCACCTTTAAAATCTAGTTGAATGAAGACAGACCTTTTTTCAACTGTGATTTATTTTGGTATTTGAGCCTTCACATCTTCCATATTTGTTAATGAATCTTTGAGGATAACCGTTGTGTTTCAGCATCTTATCGAGAATCGTAAATTCTTCCTCTAGTTTCCCTGCAGAGCATATTCTCCTCGCTGTGTAATACAGAGTCTTCACTAGTGCTCGTTTATAGCTTGCTATTCGGACAAAAACTATTAAAATGTAAGTATTGTCCATTCCATGTGGGCTTTCGGTAAATTGTTAAAAACAGACTTACCAAAGGAATACTCATTTCCAATTTGGCGTAATCATGTACATCTTATCTCTCCCAAAATTATCATTTGCACAGATCTTCGGCATTGTGCTGCTTCTGTCCTCCCTTCATATTGTGTTCCTTTCACGTATTCTATCTTTCTCCACAACGCTGAGTCATTTACTTTATCTGAAATCAATGCCAATGAATATCTCCTTATATACTACTGATAGCATTTATCAGTAGTACACGCCGTAGGATGATAATTGGGATTAGTTAATCAAACGTCTCTTATGGTTTGTTTTCATATTTTGATCCCTTTTTTTATTTAGAACAGAACATTTAAGCGAACAATATTTTGCTTTCAATTAGATCTCATCAGGCTTAACTCGAATGTATATAAGTTTACAAATAAAATTCAAATATAAACCAATCATAGTGTGTTGTCTATAGGATAATAAGATGGTGAATATAAATTGTGCAATTAGTCATAATAGTGGTAATGATAATAATAATAATAATGGTTTTGTCAATAATAAGGATGAAAAAGTAAGGCAATCTGTGATAACACGAATAATGAAAAACAGCATGATTAAACAAATAAATGTTCAGGTGGAAGTAGTCGATAATGGCTAGTAAAAACAAATGAACCGATTAAGTAATGTTAGATTGTAAGGGAATTAAATGAAACACGTTTTTAATGAAGATGTGATAAGAATGAGGGATGATAAGAAAGGGGTGGTGTAGAAGTCATTAGGCCAAGGTAGGGATAATGGCTGTACGAACTTCTTTTGAATGCCTATCGCCTCAGCTGTGTGCAGTAGACGAATACGAAGTCTATTGGAAAGGTTCGGTGAGATACAATGAATCACTTGGAAGACTCTCGTTTTCTCCGCTACATGACCACTGTCAATTAAATGTGACAGAATTGAGCTGTCTAGTAGTAGTACGCCCAACATAACTGTCACCGCAGGTGCAGTTGATAAATGCACATAGGTGTATGGCAAAACTATCAAGCCTATCCTTCCTTTGCATCCAAATCATTCATCGGCTAGAGAATGGCAAACAGGTTTGCTTCGTGCGTAAAATGTTCTTTGTATATACTCCTTGAAAGTCTTTGGAATAAAAAAAATCTCACTTGATAAGTAACCATTAAATTGTAACTTTAATAAATAGAGGTTTCTTATGTGCAGTCAGAGTCTCAAGAGGCTTTTTCTCCGATGTTTTCATATATGTTTCTTTATAAAATTACTCGGAAAGCCAGCCCATCTCCGTGTCAAGGAATCGTGAATATATATATATATATATATATATATATATATTCAAATTACTTTCGTAAGAAAGAGGTTATCCGTACTTATCTTTCTTGCTCTGTTCGCAAGACATTTAACAGCATTCCTTTTCAAAAGAATGGACACTGAACAAAGAGTACTCTTTTCGATAACTTCATCATCAGGCTCTACAGTTATATATACATCATAGTGAATGAATGAATGAATTAGTGTTATTAACAACATTAATGTTGTTGTTTAAATAACATCGAATCAATCAATATTATCAGTGGATTACAGTTCGACAGTTTCAACAAAAACAATACACAGAAAGCAGAGAAATTAGGAAAGATAATAATACAAATTCATGAATTTATAGTCTACACTGAAGGCCAGCCAGGGCAGTAGTAGTGGCTGGCTGGACTTGCTCCTTCTTTTGCACGCAAAGCACTGGTTATTTCACGCGAATTTCAATAGCTTCTGCTGTTTGGAGTATGCGGTGCTTCGATGATTTTGGCAATTTATTAGACACCCGGTAGATTATAGAGAAGGATTCTTCCATGCTAGTTGGCTTTGTGGCCGCTCGCTTTGGACCAGATGGTCTAGTATCGAACTGTTGATGGCTTTTACTGCATATTTACGTACCCATAGTGGGAGATGTTCTCGAGTGAGCACAAAAAATCAAGTTCCTAGAGCAATGGGCAATATAACTCGCCCCACAAGTTCAGTTCAATTGGTAAATACAATTTGAAGTGGCTTGTCTTTCCTTTTTATATTTAATGGCCACATAACTAAAGAAGTGTGTGTATTACCCTTTGTCCCTTTTGTATTCTCTCGGTACATATTTATGTTGCCCCTTTTTATTTTCAACAATTAGATCTATCCATCTGAATTCGGAATTAAACGTATGGCTGAGGAGGCTATTCATGGACCACCTGAACTACGTCCTAGTGAATCAGACACTGAATGCAATGACAATGAGAATAACAATAACAATAATCGTAATAATTTAACTGAAGACAATTCAACTATGGCTGTTGATGTTGACGAAAAATCTGGCTGGCGTAAAGCCTCCGCAAAACTTCGACGTCGTATTCGTGAATATCAATTGGCTAGATTGAAATATTTCTATGCTATTATCGAATTTGATAGTGTTGAAACCGCTGAAGCCATATATGAAGCTTGTGATGGTCTTGAATACGAGAGTTCTGGTTCACGTTTGGACTTGCGATTTGTTGATAATGATCAAACTTTTGAAGTGAGTACATTTATTATTGTCATTATTATTTATCGTCATTATTAGTATTATAATTCCCTTGGGTTTCGAATGGGGCATAGGGCGGTAAAGTTAAACTTTAAGCACCACTAACTACCACCAATCAACGAATGACCTTGAACGCACCAATCACGTAAAGGAGGCATCTTTGTGTATGGAATACACATATATTTATGAAAAGATAATGTATAAAAACTGTGGAAAAGTGTTACAGAGGATACCTTTCTCTCATATGGGATAAAAGTAACTCTCATTTGTAGGTTGGAGTATCAAGAGAGTATAATTTCATCGTGGGTAAAATTTATTTTTTGATAAAATCTCACGGTGTTATGCGGTAGTATTTACTGGGCAATAAACTGTGCTCGGAACGTTGTCATCAGTAAATATTACTACTGTATAACACTGTGCGGCCTTATCAAAATAAATGTTGTCCACAATGGAATTATACTCTACCACTACAGTGCACAAGTTCTATTCTTATCTCAACAGAGTAATTTAACCACATTCTAAGGATGTAATTATTTAGATCTTCTAACCCTAAAAATAACCCTGATCTTTTCTTAACCTAATCCTAACGTGAAAATACCTCTAAACTCCATTATTGCAAAAGGTTTGGAAGGCGGGAAAGGTGCCTGCTGACTGGAGGTTACCTCGTGAAACTACCAAAGAAGGGAGACTTAGGACTCTGAAAGAACTGGCGAGGAATCATGCTCCTGTCGACGCCAAGTAAAATCTTGAGTCGCATCATCCTGGAGAGAATAAAGGACACACTGGATACACAACTCCGCCCGCCAGAACAAGCTGGATTCAGGAAAGGCAAATCATGTTCTGACCAATTTGAAACTCTACGCATCATCATCACAGAACAAAGCATGGAATGGCAATCAAACCTCTACCTCGACTTTATAGACTTTGAGCAGGCCTTCGACAACGTTGACCGCGAAGTAATTTGGAAACTACTCGAGTACTACGGCGTACCCCAAATATTCATCAACCTTATTCAACAGCGGTACGACAACCGCACATGTCAAGTGATCCACAACGGAAAACTCAGCGAGGCGTTTGGAATAAACACAGGAGTCAGACAAGGGTGCTGGCTTATTATCGCCAATGATATTCCTAATTGTGGTGGACTCACTGGATTATGCGTCAGACAGTGGGAAACGAGAAGACAGGGATATCCTGGACCGACGCGAAAAACCTCCCACATTAAGAAAGATTAAAGAAAGATATCTCACTGAGGCGAAGTTAAACTTTCGACACCACTAACTACCAATCAGCGAATTATCCAATGAGATTCACGAACGATGTCGAATTATCCAATGAGGTTCACGAACGCAGTTCAATGTTGCATAGCGCTTGATTCATTTCTAATGCGTGACCTTACAAGGCTGTTGTTGCAATTCGAGGAGGTTAGTGTTTCCGAGTATTTCCTAGATTTCAGTTGCTCCGGAAAGAACGAATTTGATTGTGTGGTGGTATCATGACTTTAAAAAGCTAAACCAAATCAACTGATGGGTTTGTTCATCGTTGTGCTATATGTTTGAAGCCTACTAACACTAGAGAGGGTATGCTGATAATTTTATTATTTCGTAGGAACTTTTTTCGCTAGGTCGCTTCTCTCCCTAAGGATAGCAGATAGAAAAGCAACTACTCTTATACCTATTGTTACCAGAATTGTTAAGCGTGGGTCAATTATACACACAGAAAGGCTACAATTCGCTGTCATCTCTGGGATATATTCATCGTAGAGACAACCATTCAAGTGATTTTGTGGATCCCGTTACGAGGACACATACAAATTCTAATGAAGGATTTTGGGGCAGGTTGGAAAAAAAGATAAGGGCTATAAATGTATTTCAAAAGGATCTTATTTATAGTCATTTGGATGTATATATGTACAGGATATGGTGTAACTTCTCCATTGACAGTCCTATGCTAAACTGGGAGATTTTTCTCTCACATTTTCGAGAAAGATATCTCATGTAACCTTTTTTATTATCTATTTTATGCTTTTTTCTATAAATATACATTTCCATTCATCATATATGCCTCTTTAATGTGATTGGTCCGTTCGAGGTCGTTTGCTGATTGGTTGTTAGTGGTGTCGAAAGTTTAACTTTGCCCTCACTGACGTCTTCTAAAAGAATGGATATCCACGGAATTTCATGAAGAGACATTTACCCCCAAGCCGTCAACCTATCACATCAAAGGTCCCCAAGGAAAGCACAGAGAAAATCACCCTACCATATATAAAGGATATCTCAGAAATCACTGCAAGACTCTTCAAACCTTTAGGAATTGATGTCATACACAAACCAACGAAATCGCTTCACTCAACTGTCTCTATATCAACCAAAAGACTCAACAGCGAAATAAGATAAAACCAACATCATCTACGAAATAAATTGTAACAACTTCAAAAAACACTACATTGATGAAAGTGGACGTTCCCTTCGTCTTTGTATCCATAAATATAAACTAACCGTCAAAAGACATGGCAGCCACTCCCTCATATCGCCTCACTGCATACAGACAACCACGAACATCAATTCGACTGGGACAACCAACGTTCAATTATTAGACAGAGGAAACACCAAGAATGCCTGGTATTCCAGTGAATCGTCAGTCAATAGACACATCGATATAGACGAAATTTGCCAGTCGATAAGAAGGAAATCTCACACACAAAGGCTCAAAGTTCAAGTCAAGGAAGCAATCAGTACCAATACAGGTAGCCTAGAGAGTGTGAAAACACAAAAACCTTTGACGTCCAAAGTCACCAGGAGAGATGATTAATTAACTCGTGGAGAAATCTAAAAGCTCACTTCAATTCAAATTGAAGTATGCGCTGAAGGTGTTGTCTAGTGTTGGGGCAATGAAAGCTTCGCAAATTAACTATCCAGCTCAGAGAACACAACCACATGAAATTCTACCCATCCTCCTTTACTGCTCCCCATTAGTCTTTCCTGGACTACTTAAGAAAGACTTTGCTTCGCTGAGAAGGGCACTAAAAGCTGTTAGTAGGGCAAGTGGGTTATCGTTAAACCAACTGGTGAACACTATTGTAGATAGACATATTATGTCATGTAAGAAACTAGCGAATACAATATTGTCGGACCCCAAGCATCCTCTCTATACGCATCTATCTCCTTGCATTTCATCTGGAAGAACTAGAAGCAGCTACAGGAGGCTATATGCTAGGACTACCAAATACAAAAACTCCACAATACCATATCTGGCACAGCTGTTATGTGATGAGAAATCCGTTAGGTATGACACGATAAACTTACTGCGGCACTCTAACAAATAGTCCCATTAGTTTTTGTTTTCCTTTCCTCGTTACTATCACACTGTTGTTCTCATCTAGTACCACACATCAACTTTATATTTCAAATCCTGTGTTGCATTGTTTGAAATGAAATACTCTACGTTGTTTTTTTTCTAAATTTTTAATATTTATTTATATTATTTATTTATAACTAATTTATTTTATTTTTATTTATTTATCTTTGATTTTTAAAAATCTTATATAATTTATGAGGTAATTAGATGCAATATACTGTAATGCACGCTGAAAATTCCATACCTGTACCACAAATACTGTTTGGAATAAAGCTGTTATTATTATTATTAAAAAAAAACATATGATAGGGTATTTCGAGGGAAGGATCGAAGTTTTCACACAATCCGTCGTATCTGGTCATCTATGTGGGTACTATCCACTGGGCCACCAGGGCGTGGCCACCATCTTCGCTTAATAGATCAACTATTCATTGTTTCTAAATTTTTGTTGTTGTTGTTGTCGTCAAGTGTGCAGGTATTTTATGCTTTCTTTGTTTATCTGTCTCAGGTACCTGCTGAATACGCTCACTTAGTAAGTGAATGTCGTGAAATTAACAAGGCCAAGTATAATCCTCTTCGATTTGAAACAAGCGCTTTACATTCAACACGTATTGGTATAACATGGGATAAAACACCCGCGGAAAGAACTAATTGGTTACGTGATCAATTTCGTTCAGATGTTGATCCAAAGACAACATTAACTGAGCATAGAGATGAAGTAAGCAAACGTTCGATATATGCTGTTATTGTTGTTATTATTACTATTGTTGTAACGACGGAAGACAAAGACCAGGCGACAGATCGTTTATTGCGAAATTCAAGAGGTATTTGTAGATTTTTATTTACATTATTGTCAGCGGAGAAGCAACCTCCTGTGATTGGTTGTTTTCCTGCTGAAGGTTATTCTCTACTGCTTGTAACTGTTTCTTAGAAAGGTAAGCCATATATCTACGGATCGTATTTGCACACGTTACGTCTGCTGTGATGGGTTAGTGAGTTCCTTAAGCTTAAGCTTTGTTATTGTTTTTCCTCACGACTCTGATTCCGGACATAAGCATTGACGTAAATTGTTGTCTACAATTTCGACTTGTAGCCAGCTCTCACCACTTTATTATTTCAACGTGAATTTCGTCACGAACTAACATCAGTTAGAAAGATCATTGAAATTGATCCAGGTTTCTACAAAAGCTGATCGATAATCTCCATGTCATTGATGGCTTCTGGATGGAGGTCGTAACCAGTGGGATCCACCAATGTGATTTTGAAGTGTGGATACTAGTCGAAGGCATCGGTTTGAGGGGTGGTGACACTATATCATGAATCGACAGTAGTTAGAATCCACAAGTCATTGAATCCCATCCCAAGTGCCTGGATAGTGAACAAGTTTTGTGTTGTAGCCGAAAGGTCCCTGATTTGATCTGTGGTGTAGTCTTGGGTGCGCTTCCTACAAAAGAGTCCCAAAACTAAGGAAAAACAGCTGTCCAGTGCTTTATGGTTCGTTCTACTTACTGGCGTCTAACGATCGTCATATTTCTTGACCTGAGATAGCGGCATTCGATCCTGTCCACCGAGAGAGAGGTACTATGGCGATGTTTGGCTGTGAAGGGAATGTCGAGAAAATACATCACCCATTGTTCCAGCTACTTTACTTGAACTCATGCAGTCAGTCAGGTGAGAGCTTATGGAGAGCCGTTATCTGAAGTGATGACAACCAGTGGTGTCCGTCACGGATGCCCACTGTCTTCATTTCTCTTTTATTTTATCATAGATGTATGCGCTAATGGAAATAACCTTAACTGACTTGAGTGACTCAGGGACTAGTAGTCTTGTTGACTTAGAATGTGCAGCTAATATAGTCCTCCCTCCTAGGTGAAGACGCTGACATAATGCAGAGTCTTTTGAACACCTTGAGCAGTGTGCAATCTCCGAATGTTTGGCATGTGATTCGCCCCTGTCAAATGTAAGATGATACTGTGGTGAGAGCTGTCTACAAGCCAAAATTGTAGACAACAATTTACGTCAATGTTTACGTCCCAAATCGGGTGATGAGAAAAAAGGCAATAACAAAGCTTAACCTCGAGGAACCCGACAACCAGTCACAGCAGACTTAGCGTGTCCAAATACGATTCGCAGGTATATGGACGACCTTGTAAGAGACGGTCACAAGCAGTACAGAACAACCTTCAGCGAGAAAACAACCAATTAGAAGACGCTGCTTCTCTGCTAACAACGTCAATAATAATGTACATAGAAATCTATAAATATCTGTTGATTTTCCCAATAAATGATCTGTTGCCTGGCCCTTGTCTTCTGTCGTTGTACTACTACAGGACTAGACTGGACTACATCGACTTCTGGCTTAAAGGTAGGGAGTGAAGTGGTGGCTGAGTATGTTGACCACTTCACTTATTTGGGGAGTTGCATCAGCCGACGCCAACGGGTTGATCGCTGACGAAATTTTATCAAGGATACAGAAGGCTCGTTTGGCAATTACCTGCCAACTTACGCCACCTCTCGCTTAGTAGACGTGATATCCGGCTGACTACCGACCAAAGGGTATGTGTACTGCTCAGCAGTCACTTGGCTCTGTCCTCCTTTATGGCTATAACAGGCACATGGCCATTGGAAGTGGAAGACATAAAAGCCTGGCCAGCAAGCTGTCTTTGTTCATAGGTGCCTGCGTTCTATCTTCCATGTTAAGTGGTATAACAAGGTGACTAAGATTGAGGTTAGGCTTCAGTCGAGTGAGTGCTAGGCACCTAGTTGGCCTTGACATGGTGGGTACTACAAATCCTACAATCTGAATATAAACTGTCAACTCACTGATGGCTACTGTATATGATTTCATGAATTTACAGTGGGTAGTCTTCACCAATAACACCCGTCATGTCAAAGTAATGCGGAAGCTCATCGAAAAATTGTTGTGAAGGTAGGGTGATATCACGAAGTGAAGGAAATTAGAATTCACAGATAAATAAATTTCTTCAGTCTGAGTGGCTGAATGGCCAGCGAGCTTGATCTCATAATCTTAAGACCTCAGATTCAAACCCTGATAGTTTCGTGGGTGTGAACTACTGAAGAGTAACTGGAATGGGATGAAACAGCTTTTCATTGTTCATTTTTCTTTCAATGATCGTTCTAATTGATATTAGTTCATGAATAGAATAGGTCAAACAGTTGAAACCCTTACTTAGAAAACTTATGAACTTTGTATTCTACATACTATGCTTTTTAGTTTACCTAGAGAAATAATATTTTCCGTTTGATTGCACTCTTAAAGCGAAACTCCTAGAGATCCGAGATGGTGCCGGAGGAACTGCTATTCATGAACGTTGAATCTAAAGGTGACATTATGCTGAGATTCTGAAGAATCGTTGCTAATCCAGAAAAGCCTTCTTTGCGGCTGAGCTACGGATCAATTTTTATAGCTGACAAATGATCAATGGATGTGTGAAGGATAAACTGTTGTCGCTTTGGACGACTTCAGTGTGTGTCTATAAATTCACCTGCTTGTGTGGAGCTAGTTATATCGGCTGTACAAAGAGCACACTTTCTAAACACGTCTCCGAACATAATCCAGCATGGTTAGTTGAAGAACAATGTAAGACAATTACTAACTCAATTCTCGAGCACTTGGTGAACTCAAGACACTCAGTTCCATAAGATTCATCTTTCAAGATTATCTACACGGTGAGACCAAGTGGTACAAAAGACGTCAAGTTTTGGCATTTGTGTATGGCAGAGGGGCTGGCAGTTCGTCAATACAACCTCGAACTCTGTATGCAGAAAAAAGTTAGTCCAATCTCTTGTTGTACCATGGTCTAAACCTCTTCATTAGTCGTCCATTGTAAATTTTTTATTTTTAATGATTAGTTTTCTTTTACTTTAATAATTAATTCACTATTATTATCACTCTCATATGTTCCTTTTGTATATTTTCTCACCCTCTTCACACTTGTTAAATAGACACTCGACTACCGCCTTTCTTCTCACTCAATAACAATTTTAACCTTTTCAAATTGCCAACTCTTTCTTCCTTTGTGTCGTTGAGTACTATGTAATTTATAACTTTTATTTTTACTTTTGAAACCACTTCTGAGTAATTGTATGAGTTATGTCACCACTCCCACTCCCTCCAACTAATCAATAATTGACTACTATACATTTTCGGTACTGTACTGTACAGTCTCTGAAGATGATTTTATCGACAAAAAAATTTTCTTCACTGAATCGTCTTTTATTTTCTTCATAACTCAATAGGAATTTTCGGTGATTATTAATGTCAAAGAAGATTTCGTCTCAAATCGACGGTAGTTAGACAAGCATTGAAAACCAGAAAGCTCTTGACTGGTATTCGTTTCTCTTTTTACATATCCTCACAGTACACACCTACAATACACAGTCGCCGATGATATATGTCTGATTTCTTACAAACTGGAAGATACACAAGTGATGGAAAGCAACAAGTTGGCAGAAGAAGCATAAACGATAGGAATTCCCTTCAAGTGAACATAGAGAAAATAGATGTGGTGATGAAGATTCCTGGGCAACATCAATAACAACAGCAACTACAACACACATTAATCAGCTAGCATAAATGGGAGGAGCCTGAAAGAAACAACCTCCTTTACCTACCCACCCATCTACCTGGGAAGCATCGTTTCAACTACAGGCCGACGGAAATGACGAGGATATCAAAACGAAGATTGGGAAAGCAAAGTAAGCACTCATTATTCTCAATTCTGTGCGGAGATCAACACCACTCAGCATGAAAATGAAAATATGATCCGAATTTTCAACTCCAATGTGAAGTCAGTGCTACTACACGGATCAGAGACTTGGCGCCGCGTGACAAAGGACACCTCGAACAAACTACAGACCTTCATTAACAGCTGTCTTCGCTCAATATTTCGCTCATGATCAGATGGCCGGCCAGAAACGATCAGCAAAAGAAATCTCTGGCAATGAGCAAACCAACCCTGCAGGAACCGATTGTGAAACAAACAGGCAGGAAGAAATGGAGCTAGGTGGATCGGCCATACTCTGAAGAAAGAAACCATCATCAAGTGACATCACTAGACAAGCCATAGCTCCAGTGGAACATGAAAGGGAAGCGGTGAGTTGGTCGTCATTGTGAGGGTGACTTGGAGGAGGTCATGTGAAGAGGAGATCAAAGCATGTTGGCAGACTTGGGGCCAGGTGGAAACGTTAGCAGAGAACGGAAGGCAATGGTGACTTTCGGCTGAAGCCCTATGTTATACACACCTACAACTCAAACATTAGATTAACTGCAGGACTATCGAACTGTCAGGTTAACATATTACCACTAAGACAGTAAATTAGCTGATATTTAACACAGGATCATGAATCCTAACTTCGATCAATGCAATCAACATCAGATGATATATTGTAGTTGAGGTTTCGTCTACTGGAGATATTTCCACAATCATCTTGAAGTCATTCACCCCTGTGGGTAGTATACTGGATTTGTTGAGATGTGATGAATATCGGTGGAGATTTCAACAGTCCTTCTAATTAGAGTAGCCAAGTTCAGTAGACCAAATCTGGTACAACAATCTTAAAGAAATGAATGATTGGAAAAAATCCATACCAATTGATTATTGATCATAAAGTGAAGGTTATTGGGCGAATTTAAAGAATAGACAACCAACAAGTGGGAATGTCCCAAAAACGCTGGGACACTCCGTCAGAGTGAGGCGGTGGAACCAGGCAAATAACGCCAAAAACATGAAAAAAAGTGTTTTGAATCCACTGTGAGGACATTATTCATGATATCTGGCTAGTCTTAGTTTAGGTTAGATCATGCTAAGGGTTATGTTAAGTTAATTAGAGCAAAGGTTCGGGTGGGGTTAGGGACCTAAAAGTTTCTCTTTCCAAGGTCCCTGGTGAGTTCTCGCTTATTGGATGCCTCTTTTGACCCTGATAGCTATTGGTTATTTTGCGAGAAATCAAGGTAATCAGAAGAAATGAACACCATAGAGCCGCCTCTGTTTGATAGCCGAGAAATTTAGTTAGTGAACTAGAAAAGCTTACAAAATCATCAACCATGGCTCGTCTACGCACGATGTCATACAATCGGGTCAAAAAGTTAACATTGACAATACTGAAATGAATTAGAAAACCTTCAGAAATCAGAAGGAATGTCTTATATCATCAGAAACACTTCATACTAAATGGAATCAAAACTGTCTGAACTGATTGGAAATGATGGACTAAAACAGAATTTGACCCGGTTACAACACCCCACCTACCTCTTCCCATGAAATGACAACACCAGCACGAATGTTATTAGCAATTTCATTGTGTAAACAAACTGCTGCTTTTATAATTTTATACACTTATGAAATCCGATAATCTACACATGGTTTTGTTATCTTTACCAATTGGCCAACTTGAGAGAATTACCTCATTCTGAAAAACGATAATTAAGTTGTTATATAATGTAAGCTGAGATTTTGTAAATTCTGGTTTAATAATACCTTGATAAAGCTATTAGCAGCAGTATTAACTAGCAAAACGTCAGTAAAACACAACAACAATATCGTTTTGTTTTTCATTCATTGGGAAATACAAAAAGAACTTTTATAATAATGAATATATCATATACCTAATGCCCAAATTTTCCTAAACTGTTAAAAGTGAACTTGGTTTGGACAAATATAACAAACCCATAGCCTTAGAAACGTGGTAAGAAGAGTATTCCCTGATGCCAAATGACTCTGTGCCTTCAAAATCATCCCACCCCTATTTTGTGTTAGGAAGTAAATGATAAACTGCCTAATTTCGCCTCTTCCATGTGTATCTACCAATTTAACTGCTCATGTGGAGTGTGAGCCAGTTGGTTGTATAGGCCGTACAGTTAGGCGTGTTTCTCGTCGAATTTCAGGACATCACTCTGCATAGTGGTTAAGTAAAGGACAGACAAAATTTATTCACATAGCGTTATTCTATCCCATCTTGTGGACACAGAACACAAGATTGATGTTAACGAGGCTGCTTTCAGGGTCATTTACTGCATACCAACGAATCTCAATTTTGCCTTAAGAGCTCGTCTATTACATACTGCTGAGGCTGGCTGTTGGGATCTAAATTAAGAAACCTAATTTATCGGTCCAAAAGAAGTTAGTTTAGACATTATCATTACCACTGTGGCCATCTAGGTTTTACTGGTCCTCAATTTTTGGTAGAAATTTCCTTAATTTTAGTTGATATTCTATTCGCTACTGTATTTTTATGCTTATTATTATTATTTAAGCATCTTTAATGAACTGTGATTCTATTGTGGTCTTACCTTACAAATCGATATTATTTAAAAAACACTGATATTGTTATTGACTACTAATCTAGAATATTCTATGTATATAAACTTGTGCGTCGGTGGCACAGTGGTTAGGACTCTCGCCGACCATGCACACGGTCCGAGGTTCGAACCCACGCCGACGCACACCTGATATCAATGGTTGGCCTGCGAATTCTGGGCTACCGATATCCACGCTGAAAATTCCATACTTGTACCAAAAATACGGTGTGGAATCAAGCTGTAATCAAAAAAAATATATGTATATATATGTACTTGTAGAGCCAGAAGAGGAAATCATCGATAAGGATATATCATACATTTATTCCCCTTAATGAATTTGAACAATGCAAGAACTACAGTTTTAGCAGAATAAAATGGTACCATCTTTTATTTCGTTGCCTTCTCGTCAGCTGCTTACATGGCAAAGACATTATTAAATATATCTACAACAACAACTTTTAACATACTTGCACAGAGTTCAGTTTAAACAAAAATCAATCGATCAATATACGCATACACTAAAAATATATACATATATAAATATGCAATATTAACCACTATTCCGAACAATAATAAGGATATACTTTGCTTAATTATTTTATGTTTTATGCACGATAAAGTCACAGCAGTTAATTGAAATCTTTTAAAAAATGTTCATGAGAGTAGTTAAGACTCAAGAAGGTCGTTGTATCGTTGAAACTATATGAAATGGACTAAATAGCACGCATTCTGGAGGGCGGATAAAAATGTTGTCGATAGGTATGATATAAACAGTTTGCCTAATGATATAACGTTAATCCTTGATGTCTGCATACTTATAATGGGTGACATGATTAAATTGAACGGACTCGAAACATAAATTCATTTATGAATACCTTTTAAGTTCATTGTGTATCTGACACTTGAAATTAATTCGAAATTCCCCGGAAAACCTATAATTTGATCGTTGTTATTACTATTATTACTCCTGTCACACGTCTTGGTTATTGATTGTCTGTCCAGTAGTCCATGTTGATTTTCCAATGGTTCTCTAACCAATGTCACGTCATGATGAAATCCTGTAACTAAGATAGATTCACTTTATTACATCTCCTTCCATCTCAATATATTACTTCGTAAAGCGTCAATTCTCAATCATCTCAGGATATACTACTGTTTCATATGAATAGATGGAAATCACGGAATTGAAAAGAAAACGCTTTATTGCTAACCGGATCAAATTAATGTCAGCACTGTCTCACTTTATTGTTTAATGTGGTGATTGACAACTTCTATCTCTGTATTATTTAAATACTTACTGTTGACTGTTAATATGTTTCATATATGAATTGCATAATAATTCCGCTAAATACAAATTCCTGAGTTCTGCCCTCTCTGTGTTTTGGTTGGATTCGTGTAATTCGGTCATCTTGAAATACTAATACTACAATTACAATAAATTACTACAAATTGGCGTCGCGATGGAACTAAATAACCTGGGAAAATTCCCCATTAATGGGTCTCCGCGGGAGATTGCTGATTATTTGGAATGCTTCGATGCGTGGTGCATTTCAAAGAATGTTCGGGATGACAAAATACCAGCACATTTCATCACTGCTATTGGGCTAGATGCGTATAGCCTAGTAAAGACTCTGTCGTTTCCAGATAAACCTATTTCTCTGTCATATGTCAAGATTCGTGAACTTCTGACAAATCACTTTCATGTAACTACATTTGAGACCAGAGAGAGGGCTCAATTCCATAAACTGGTTCGTGCTCCCAACCAGAAGATTAGAGACTTCATTCTTCAACTTCAAATACAAGCTTCAAAGTGTAACTTTGGAGATCAGCTGCATACTCAACTACGTGATCGTCTAATTGCTGGAATCAATATTCCTAAGTTAGAGAAAGAGTTAATTCAGATTCCTTCTTGTACCTTTCAAACTGCTAAAGATTTATGTATTACATATGAAGATGTCAATAATGAATACTCTGCTCCCACTACGTCAGTATCTGATGTTATGCTTTCTAAAGTCGAAAATACAAGTGATCATGGAAAGCAATCCAAACTGTCGTCCACAGGTAATAGAATGCAGCGAGAGATCAAAAACATTAAACCGTGTTTTTCCTGTGGAAAGTTACATCTACGAAGCACTTGCCGTTTTCGGGGTGCTAAGTGTCACAAATGTGGTAAAGTTGGACACATCAAGACGGTTTGCAGAAGTTCGAATACTTATGTTGCTCAACATTCTTATAATTCTCCCAAGCTGTCTAGTAAAATGGAGTCAATGTGTCTTTCAACCTTTCAAAATACTCAAGCTAATCCAATGAAAACCTCCACTACAAGTTCAGCAACTCAAGCATCAACTGTTTTCAAAAATGAGGTAGCCGAGTTACAATGCGAACTGTCGAAAACACGGAAAAAACTGAATGAGATGAGAGAGCAACTGATTAAAATGGAGGAATTGCTGCATATGCATAGACTGCGTCTGTCGAATGCAGAGCATACAAGTACCCGTGAAAGTCCTGCAAAACTTTTCAAATCTCGAATTCTCAAAAAGCATCTGATGTCCACGACTTCTAATGTACATTATTACAAAGGGAATGACTATAGACCTTCTGTTGGAATTATACTACAAAAAATGGGAAATCGAGTGGTGAAGATATTAGACATCAAAGATCACTCAGTTCATAACAGACACCTGGACAAAGTGACAATAAATGAAGTAGGTCGTTCCAATTATTATTTTAATGATTCCGCTAATAATCCTGATTTTGTAGATAATTCAGAAATAAGTCCAGATAATACTGATGAAAATAATATCACAGAATCAGTTAAAAGGTCGCAGCTACTTGCAAGCAAACCGAGACATCGTTATAAATACGCAAGGAGATATTCGAGGTGTGGCGGATGTGGTGATTGACAATTTCTATCTCTGTATTGTTTAAATACTTACTGTTGACTGTTAATATGTTTCATATATGAATTGCATAATAATTCCGCTGAATACAAATTCCTGAGTTCTGCCCTCTCTGTGTTTTGGTTGGATTCGTGTAATTCGGTCGTCTTGAAATACTAATACTACAATTACAATAAATTACCACATTTAACTATAGTTATTTCAGTAGTAATATGCGCCCTATCCATTTGGTTTCTTTATAGTATGAAGTGTCACTGCCTGTTAAAGTGGGACTATTCTTTATGGATACTAATATCTATCTGCCCCGCACCCCCTGCACTCCCACTTCAACTGATAACCTTAATTCTCAACTGCATCCATGATTGTATCTGCTAATACTAGGTATATAGGGATGGTCTGTTGCCCAATCCCCACCCCTTTTGTTTGTGCATTTTGTAGAAGTCATAAACAATTGAACTTTCAATATTATTTCTTCGACATGTAACTTAATTCTATATGTGAGTCGGGAATCAAATTTTAGCACTTTCTTCTGTCTAATCCCAGAAATTCATGGATAATCCTCATCCAGGCATTAATGAACTCAAAACACGTAGATCGGCGAAGAGTTTCGACGTTCTGGAAAGAGAATTAGATATTCTAAGACAAATCTTCATCCAAAATGGATATGCAATAAGATTCATTGACAAAAATATGAAAACAATAATTTGGAGAAACGAAACTTTAATTGCACCTAAAAAGAAACTCGACATGAATTTCAACTTCAAGAGAGAGATTTAACAAGCGATATTCTCAAGAGAAGGATTACATCATCTCTGAGAAGAACATTCTTTGCTGCAACTCTAAGAATAGTGTTCTCCAGTCATCCACTGATCTGCAGAAGTCTCAAAGACAAGATCCATCATCAGACCACTTTTATGTGCATATATACAAGTCCACATGTTGCTGTGGAGCCAGATGCATTGGTCGTTCGACGCGTATCCTGTCCACGAAGATTCAAGAACACTATAAAGCCAGCATGGTTGCGAAAAGGCAATAGTGGTGCAATAAGGAGTGCGATAATTGAACACCTGGTTAACACTGATCATTCCATTTCAACAAACACCTCCTGCTTCAAAGTAATCTACAGAGTCAAGAATAACCTATCAAAGGCAATACGGTTTCGTCTCCTTTGTATCGCTGAAGCTCTGGCCATCCATTCACATAGAAAAATCGGAGCTGTGCATACGAAAGAAGATTACTCAACCACTTCTACTCTCATGGTAACAATGTTTTGATTTGTCTTGAGCAGGCTTTTTATTTTGATGACTTAATTTTGTTTCTTTGTCTGTTCTTTAATTGCTTAGAATTCTTGTATTCACTTAGATCTCTTACATAATTTCGTATTATCTACTTTGTTTCTATATGTGTATCCTGAGTAAAACTCACTCATCAAACTATTCATATTATTATTGCATAACTTCTTTTAACAACTGTTTGTGACAACTCATCACCTTTGTTACACTACCCTAGTTTCATTAACACCTAATTTTCTTGACTTATATTACCAACCTGCACCTGTTTAGTTAAAATAACCAAATAACCAATTGTAATTTTGTTTGACAAACTTAATGTACACACACATACAAAGCAACACATATATATTTGCGATTGAACAGCTAAGAAAATGAATTCGCCGCCGAAAAGAGACTCTTCGCTGATCTACGTGTTTTGCTTACATTAATCCCAGAAATACAGTAATTCGAATATTAACGTTGTATAAACTTGTCATCTGGAAACTAACTATTTTACAACCTTTTCCATTTGAATGTCTTCACTTCTTTGTTGATTTATTTTGGTGTGAATAAGTTAGCTTCAAGCTGTTCTGAAGTTTCAGAAGAGATGATGTGGTTTCTGGCTTCACAAACATTCTTCCAACTTTTCTAGGCTTACTGTTAACTAGATGAGGTTTAGGCGTTGTATCAGTTGGTGGGAAATTGGACCTACAGAAACTTATAATGGCATATAGTACTGAATCTGAATATTTGCAATACATCTCAAGCTGTGTGATGTTCAACTACTGCTGACCTAATAGGGTGTCGTATTTTACGAATTTTTAGTAGTGTCATGCATCCCTTGGGTTAAGGGTGAAACTTAAGTATTTTTTTTTTGATTACAGCTTGATTCCACACTGTATTTTTGGTACAAGTATGGAATTTTCAGCATGGATATCGGTATTGAATTGAATTTTTGATTTTCCCGTCGATTGATTGGACCGAAGTGTTCGGTCTCAGGTTGACATGTCGGCTTCTTGTGCAGATGCTTCGACGATGTCTGGGGATTTGATTTGTATACAATTGGTGGCTAGCAGTGGAATCCAGGATGGGAACATCATCACTCACTGAGAAATGCAGGTACATCCATCTGACGAGTCCCGATTAGGACGAAATGCGCTATATCCTGGATTCCACTGCTAGCCACCATCCACCAATTGTATACAAATGGATATCGGTAGCCCAAGATTTGCAGGCCGACCATAGATATCAGGCGTGCGTCGGCGTGGGCTGGAACCTCGGACCATGTGCATGGTCAGCGAGAGTCCTAACCACTGTGCCACCGACGCACAACACACCTCCACTTTCTTCTATATTCTTTTCTCTTCTTCATCTGTGTCCACCACTGTTCATAATCTCTCATCTCCTCCACACACACACACACACACACGAAACGAACTCATTCATGTCAACCTCGGACCAACGCCCAAATCGTTGCATTCCATTCGGATTCCACTCGAGTTATGAGCAACATTGTGCAGAAGGTCATTCGATAGCCACCTCAGTGATGTGCATGGCCGATTCATCTCCATTTTCTCCTACATATTCGTTGAAAAAAAAAAGGTTCTTGGTTAGTTCGTTCATTGACGGAGTTTCTTGTTGATACGGTCTTTCCGGCCTGCTGGTCGGCCAGCTAAGACAGCTGTTGATAAAAATCTACAGTGGCCTGTTGATGGAAATGTTTCTTTTTTTATGACTCATGAGCAGTACAAGTTTCTCACGCATATTGAAGTAATGACTGGCAGACTGACTTTACATTTGTGTTGTGAACAGAATCCGAATCTTTCTCTTTATGCTAGCTAGATGACTATTTAAGTGAGTGGAGCAGAAGATTTCCTCAAACTGACTTCAGATTGATGAATGTGTATCTTCAAGTATTGGTTTTTTGTAGGGATTTTGTTTGACTGCATGGAGGATTTAATCATCATCTGACATCAGTTAGAGAACCTACAAAACCAATACTTGAAAATTCATCTGATGCTCACTAATGACTGGCCCTATTCAGGCAGTTAACCTGGGGTTCTAGTGGGAAACCGTGACCAG